GGTAATGTACTTTACATCCTTCATACCAAACGGCTCCTTATATTTAACAAACTTTTTATACTTGATTGCAAAGATGTAGATGTGCTAGTTGCTAAAGGTGATAAGTTGAACTTGGTGCAATGTCCAAAAACTGATATTGAGAGGGAATCTATGGAGAAAGTGTCATATGCTAACTAGTAGGAAGCATTGCTTATGCTCAAGTGTGTACAAGGCCCAACATTGCTTTTATAGTGAGTCTTTGAAGATATTTATCTAACGATTAGTAGAAATCATTGGGAGGCAAAAAAGAAGGTGACGAAATATTTGAACAAGTCTAAAGATTATATGCTAATTTATCAAAAAGTTGAAGACATTAAATTGGTGGGTTATATATATTCAAACTTTGCCAATTATTCGGATGATACATGTTTTTGTTAGTAAATGTTGCAACATCTTGAAAAAGTGTAAAGTAGACACTACTAGCGTAATTTATCATGTAGGAAGAATTTGTAACATGCTATGGTGTTGAGATTATTCTATTTTATGTTTAATTTGTTTGAAACACATCTTTGATGATGTATTCAAATTTGTTATTAATAATGAATATTCTGTGATATTTCATAATAAAGTGTTTATAATATATATATATATATATATATTTGCATATTTTAAGACTTAAGACATGTGTTAGTCTTAAGCATAGGTTGTGGCATAGATTGGTAGGTTTAAGGGTATATCTTTTACACATAAAGTATACATGGAGATATGTAAGATAAACGTACAAGTTTATGGTATAAACCATAAAATATTTCTCTCTTGAGCTTGAGCTACATAAAGTAGAAAATAAAGTGACTGACAAATGAATACAAAAAAAGAAATAAATCATCAATAAAGTGTTGTTGTTATTCATTGCTATACTATCACATTGAGTTCATGTCAATAGGATTGAGTGGTATAGTTGATGTTTTATCTTTATAGATGCAGTTGTTGCTACTTTTCAATATAAAAAATTTTATTGGATAAATGGTTTTGGAATAGTTTCAACATCAATTTGTTTTTAAATTAGGCCTATAAAGTTTCCAATTGTCATAAGCTTGAAGTTGTATATAAGCAAATTTATTTTCCAAATTTGAATTTAAATAAAGTGGTCCACGTAAGAGATTGTTAAATTTTTCCAAATACTTAAAAGTATGAACATACATTATTTATTTTTGTATTTTGTCAAAATCAAGCTAAGTTAGTTTGATCTAAATAATAATGTAATATTATAGTTTAAAATATGATCTAATAAAGTGGGTTAAGTTCTAATATACGGTATGAGCTTAATGATGTATGCTTAAGAAACTTTTAATCCTGTAATGATTGAAATTAAGGATTCACTATTTAAAAGAAACTTAAGTTGCTGTCAAAATTATGGATAAAAAACCAATCACATCTTGTATATTCTAAATTTTTACTGTGATGAATCTGATTAAATATATAATTTATTATATATAAACTTTTTATTTATAGTTCGAAACACTTATGGGATTCCTATCATAGTTACATTGAAAAAGGTGATGCAACCATGCTGTTTCTATTGAATTTTTTGTCAAATTGCACAAGTTTGCTACTATGTCATTATTCAATTTTTGGGCCTCAGCTCTCTATGTGGGGAGGCATTGTATTGTTGATGCTACTTCAGAAGGGGAATGGCATATGAGATCAGCTGTCTGGACAACAATTGATCGGAAAGGGCACGTTTTTGTGCTTACGAGACGAGGAGGTGCTGGCCTTGGTCCGAGCATTATTCTTGACATGATATCTATAGCAAAGCATACAATTAAGCAGCTAATAAACAAATTGAATTCAGATAAAGCTGCTGTTGAAGTTGGTGAAAATGAATCGTGACTCCGTATTTAGAATTCCCTTTTGTCCTTTGAATGTGTGGGAGCTCATATGGGACTCTTTCCTTTCCGATAGCTTTTTGGGTAGGGAATAGAAATATGATCACAAATCTGTTTGTGCATTTTCATGTTATAACCACATGTGTGAGACAACAGTGTAGGGAATTAGATGATTTCCCGCTTTTTCCAGGATATGGTATGAAAACACTCATTCAATTAACATACATAATTCCATTTATG